AGACGACAGAGGTATCAGGGCCAAGCGGAATTCCAGGGACTACAGGAGTATTTGAAAATTCCCAAGTACAAGCTGGGCACTCTACCGAAAAGGAAGATAACGCAGCGGAAAGGCCAGTGCGGAGGTCGACCCGAACTATAAGACAGCCTGCGCGCTATAAAGACTTTGTCCTGGATGTTTAGGACTTCTTCTTTTTTTTTCTGTTTTGTCTAGTTTAATTCAAAGACTTTGTTTTGCTGAACATTTAGGGTTTTTGCAGCCTTTAAAAACTGCCTTCCTGCTAAATTTGATCAAAGAAAGGAATGTAGTGTATACGATGCTAATGCAAGCGCGTAGAAGCGAGAGAATGAATGTGATGTAATACACACGGGAATTACGTAATTTGCATGTACTATAGATAGCGTGCGTTCTCATTTATTCGAGTCGGTTAGCGTTCTGAGTTCGGAGTGTAATGGTCGTGAATAAAGTGTGTTTTAACCTAACCGCGGTACTACAGCCGCGGTCAACTGAGAAGTTTGTTTACCCCTTGGCGCTTCCGTGGGAGGATGTTTTGACAGGTGAGGAGCTGCTGTTTTGACTACTCAAATGTTTTTTTCTTTTTTCGCCAGTCAGGCATAAGCACGTGATACCTCGATACCCCTCTATAAAGCCTTCCCGCAGCACGTACAATTAATTGACTGGGAGTTTGTTGGACGAGCACTGTGGGGACTCAACTTCTAGTTCTACAAGTTGTCACTCCACTACCACTCCAATGTGAACTGAGTGGTATGCAGGTATGTCCTTTACGTTGGATAGTTTTCGCGATCGTATCACTTCCACGTTCTTTTAACAGACTTTTGGCAAACTAACTCGAGGATAAATAAAGTTCATGTATGTATTTATGTATTTAGCAAATAATAGACGTGTAAATACAATTTTGATATGCAGGTTGATCCATGCACATAGTACTTGGCAAAAATGGAAAAAATCTAAGGCATTTTCCTAGCAGTAAATGGAGTTTTCGAACTGTTTATTTGTTTTACTCTATATAGAATCTGGTATAACTTGGAGATGGCTGGTTTTAGCTCTGCTTAACATGTTTTAATTTGTTTCAGTTCGCCGATCCGACGTAAGATGCAGCGTAGGATAACGAGGACCAGGCAACCGCGCTCAGCGGTGAGTTCAAATTATATACAGAAACTAGGGTTTATCTGTTCGTGAATGTTTGGAGTGTCACTAGATCATCCGTCCAAGGTTTTCTAGAAATTTTATACGCAAGATGATTATTTTTTCTTCCGAAAGTATCGATCAGATTGTGGATTTTCTTTTGAGCGCGGGAATGTCTATCTTCCCGCCAAATTGACAGGCCTTACTAAGGAAAGAATTAATTGGCTATTAATCTAAGCCAATAAGATTTGCTCTATTATTGTACCAAACATGGCGAACGGGAAATCAACCGCCATCATGGTGCAACAGTGTGACAGCGTAACACGCTCTCACACTGTTGTACCCTGATGGCGGTTGATTTCCTGTTACAAATAAATCAGGGAAGAAGTAAAGAGGGAATCTATGGTGGACTGTCACTCGTTACATAAAGGAAAAGTCGTTATTTTGGAGTGGCCAAGCAATAGACTGACTGGAGTACTCAGTGGGAGGTAAATTAAGCTTAAGCTTATTTTTTGATAGCAGAAATGGATTTATTCTACCCTGGGTGCCAGAGCGATATTTTTTAGTGACGCTGCGATTGTGAGCGACGAAGCCGCGATCGAGATCGTTTCCGAACGTAATTTCTAATTTTGTAGGTGCTGTAAACAAGAAGACCTTCGTTAGCTTGTTTCGGCACTTTCGTCCTTGTTTAATACGCTAACTTTTTTATTTAAATTCAGGAGTGACCAGAGCTCTCAAGTCTCACAGTTTTGCCGTGAGACACGGTTTTTAGGGCAATCCCACGGTCTCTTAGGCCCGTACCCGTTTTAAACGTCGAATTTCACATGTGCCAAAATTATCTAAATTTATGCTGATGAGAAAAATCCATTGTTTTCGCTCATTTGCATTAGATTCGGCACATGTGAAATTTGACGTTTAAAATGGGCCTTAGGATCTACCAGAGGACAGACGAACGAATGATGTCATCATTTCAAAGGGAAACAGGTTGTTTTGCCCCAGGTCGTTTCTCCACAACTCAAAGTAGCTTTGCCCCAACTTAAAGACGTTTCGCCCCAACTTTACAGTCATTTTGTTTAAAGTAATTTGTAACATATTTACAAATTACTAGACGAATAAAATGTCACATTGTTAAGATGAGGCTGTTGGTGATGTTTTACTCTCCCCAATCTCTCTTTCCCGCCCACACCATGTTGATGACGCGCTGGTTGATCGATGGCCGATCGTATAATCTTTGTAAAACTTAATTACCGGTAATGCTTAATAAACCTTCCATGGCTTTACCTGTAGAGTATCAAACGCCATTTAAACCTGTTTTTTTAACATTTGCGTGGTTAAAGAGCCATTGAGTCTAAATTTATTTTTTAGATTACATGCGTAAAAATTTTTGAGAATTATATACTAGGTACCAGTACTTTTTAATGCGACTGGGGAGAAACAAGGTACAAAAAATGTCTTGTTGAGGCATTGAATAGGTACAAAAGTCTGGAAGAAGAATGAAAAAGCTGTTTCTTTACTAGAAAATGACTCAGAAAAAATACTCGAGCAGTCTCAGTCAGCAGTTAAGTGAGACTAAACCAAACACAAAATTGGTCTTGGAAATAATTTAAGTAAGAAACCACTGCTTTGTCTCGAATTGAACAAAACCAATTCATTGATTTATTTAAAAAAATTCAAGTTTTCTCAGTCTCAAAATGATTGTTGACACAATTTGATTCATAGCCTGCGAACGCAGACATTTCCGACTATCGCTTGTCTCCTGCCGAAAGTTAACATCTGTGAACCCGAGCCAGGAAACGATTTCTGTGATGCAATGACTTTTGATTCTCCTTAGCCAATCAGATTCCATGACAGAATGACACTTGAGTGCTCCTCGTAACGAATACCTTGTGTAGTAGTTCTGGGGCTACTTGAGCTAAACTGCGATTGGCGTTACAGAGATCGTTTCCTGGCTCTGGTTCTCAGACGTTATTTTCGGCAGAGACAAATGACAGCCAGAAATACGTCGTGTTCGCTATCCAAATGCATGTTGCTGTCCATCTGTTGAGAACACAAAAGAAAGCTGAAAAGTTTATATTAATAATGCTGTGACAGCAATTCCTCTATAAGAGAATGCTAATTTAATAAGCAATACATTTGGTTGAACTAGTGATAATTATTACCACCTTGTTCCCAGGGTCCTCTCTCTACCTCAAGAAAGTAAATGGTTACCCTGGTTATGGCTGGTCACATGTGTGCTAGATTTTAGCAGATGATTGAAGGGAGGGACTGGAAAGTTAAAGTTTGTCTCCACTGAGCTCACCTACTGAACCCAGTAGGGAGCAAAATTTGTATACCCCCCGTTGTGGATCGGCAAAACTCACAGCGAAGGCTGACACATTCGATGTTGGAGTTCAATGCATTCAATGCTCGGCTAAAAGGTTAGCTCTGCATTTGGCTGAATTTTTCCTGTCAACAGTTGGATGGTCTTTGGAATTCTTTGGGTGTGAAACACTTTGGCAAAGAACTTGGAAATTACGACCACAACAATAAATGCACCGCACAGGGAATTTAATTTTCTTTTTCACTCGGCGAAATCACAACGTACTCATTCATTTAGAGTTAAATACGTCGTACGTGCACCTACAAAGGTAGTTTTGGATTTGACTAAATTATTCCCATCAACAGTTTGACTGTCATTTCCTTGAACTTGACATCAACGTCTGCGTGCTGAATAAGCTTGATTAAGCAGCTTATATTTTTCGATTGGCAAAATCACAACGGAGGCATTGATGCATTTGTTAACAGTTTGATACGTCCAGTGTTTGGCAAACAGACTAGCTTCGAATTTGATTGAATTCATGCAATCGAAAGTTTGATGGTCATTCAATTCTCTTGCAGTGAAAAATTTTGTTGAACATTTGCAAAATCCAGCGGCTTTCGTTTTAAAACTGTTTAGTGGTAAATCCAATTCTCAGTCAACAAAGTAGCTCCTGCTTGAAAGCATCCCATCGATAATTTCACGGTTATTTAAATCTTTTGGTGTGAAAAACTGATTAAACTGATCCCTTGCAGGTTGTTGACGGTTATTTAAAAAAAGCAGTGAAATGTAAGCAAAGTTCCCTCTCAATCAACATCTCACACTCACAGAGGTTCAGGTTGAGATGAAGCACTGGTCAGGCAGGATCTCTGACAAATAACTTGCTTCCCTTTCAAAATAATGTCTGTGTAGCAGTGGAACATTCACCTCCCTAGACAGTAATGACAAAATTAAGTTGAGAACCCACCCTCTGTGTGGCTTGGGTCGGCATGCATAGACACCTGACCAGCTGTAACCAGGGTACTTTCTTGAGGAAGAGAGAGGACCCTGGGAATGAGGTTGGTGATATTGTCATACGTACTGTGGATAAAAAAGTCCATAATTTTGATCTTGTCCACATTTGTTCCATAGCGCATGCAGTTTTGGTTAACATGCTACTAAGTCTTATTCAGGAAGACTTTTGATTCAGACCTTTGTGCAACCCAAAGGACAATATCATTGCTTCTGAGTCATTATAATCACCCTGAAGAACCATTCGCTGACTCTTCTTGATGCTAATTATTCCTTACCGTTTCAAGCTCTTCAAAAGTGTATTTTGGTTCTAAGAACAAAATTTTGCTGCCTAGGAGAAAACCATGACACACAAGGCCATGTTTGTTTTCGATCAGCGTGAGCTAAAAAACCTCCCCTAGAAATCTCTGGGGCATGGGAAAGAGGCAAATAAGATCAAGCTCTGACCTAGGCTCTCATGCAGACTTTACCTTACCCATTTTACTTTGCAAGATTTTCTGGAGTATAAAAATAGGTTGCAAATTTGAAGTTCACTGTCACTTTTAAGGAACCTTGTGGAAGATTTCAAGGCGAAGACCAAGAAGGCTTTGAAGAAAGGTTCATTAATGAATTCATAGGTAACATTTGAATGCCTAGTTTTTTTTAGCTAAATCCCATGTACTATAATGCTCTTGATAATAAATTATGCTGGGAGGGTTATTTTATAATAAGGGTCCACATGCTATAATACAAGCTTACTACCCTGTGAGTGGTTAGTTTCCAAGCTTACAGTATTTAAAATAAAGTGATGTTCATGTAGCATCTGTTCCAGCTCAAATTGGCCTGAGGGGGAAGCGATGGCCTTTGTTCCACCTCTGACTTCATCACCTTTGCCCAAATAAGGCATCATGTATACTCAAACTCTTCAGAAGGAAAAGGCCTTGCTAGTAATACTTAAAGCAGATATCTTTATCTTAGAGGATAACTGCTGTTTTTTATTTGGTCCGTGTAAAACACAGATGGTGCCCTCCAGACCAGAGTAAGGGGTAAATTCCACACCGAGGGTAAACTGTAACACTGACAATATTATACTTCTGAAATCACTTAATTGTTAGCTCCCTTTAATATCATTCACATTTGAATTTAGGGCTTACCCTCATGAAAATTTTCAGCATCCACATGTTTCACAACTGATCACACATTTTCACCAACTTTTGGGGACTTCTTTAATGACTCCAGCTCTATGGTTTAGATGCCATAAAGAGCTGATTTAAGGGGACTTTTTTCTTGGGACCTCAAAATGTCCCCACTAACTGAACAGACCCCACAGTTCTGATGTGTTTCCATATCCTTGTCCCCGTAAGTAGGCTGGTGTGAATGCATACAAACGAAATATTAAATTCTTTCCTGACACATATTTGGTCATTAATGTCCTACATATAAAATGTAGCAATCACATTTTAAAGGTTCTCTTCGTTTGTAAGCCAGATATGCTAACAAATTGAATGGTTTTCCCTGGTTAACAATAATTATGTGTCCAATGAAGACAGATTACAACACTATTGCCCCTATCAGATGTCATCTGAATAAAACAATTTTTTAATGGTGTTTGCAACGTGCCAATGGTTGCTATAACAATGGTACAGTGCTGCTAAAAGATCCGTTAAAGCTCTGAGTTTTTCAAAAGCAACTTAAAAATCAATTCAGTGACCTAGCATTTTTTTTTTAAATATTATTTAGAAAAACCCATCAAATTCTCTAGATAGTCTAATACATGATAGGAGAAAAAACAATACTGTAGAACTTGATTTACTTACTAGGAAAGAGCTGTAGGAATCGAAGTCTACACTATAGAATTTTTAGAATTTTCTTAGTTTATGAATGCGAAATAACAAATCTTATTTGCATACAAAAATATCAGGGTGGGTCGCACCAAGCTCACTTTTGACATTCAAGCTTTATTTCTGGTTATCGCAATTTACACTCACATTTCTGTTTCTGGTGTTGTGTTTTGAAGAATTAATGGCTGACTTGACAGCTCATCCTCACGAGCGAAAAGCTTCACACGTTCTTATTCAGAGAACATGTACAAGAGCATTTCAGAAATTGGATTTCACATTGTTCTATAAAGTTATGATGTGCAAACATTCCAGAAGATAATCATTGCTTGAGATTCAGACTGCTTCCTGTGATGACTGTTGGAAATGTCAAAGTATTATGGAGAGAATTCTCTTGTTGGATGCCACTTTTAAGGAAACTGATTTATTGATCCAGACATGTTGATTAGTAGTTGTTACACTGGTGCCAAATCGCCAATGCTTGTTCTCTGTACAATCCATTCAGATCATATATACCGATATTTTTCATAAAGAGCTTGGAGTGTGTTATATAGAAAAGATTAGCATGTGCCATTTTCTGGATCAATTATGTTAAATTTACTTGAGGAGGCCATATTTACAACTTGCACATGAATGCCATTGTGCGTGGTATTGCATGATTTTCTTATACATGTAGGTAATAATTTTGCTTGCGTGCATCTTGGGATCCATTCTCAGCACTGCCAAAAACCCTTTTGAGTCTCCAGAGCTGCAGAAGGATTTAATCTGCACCAGTTTCACTCATTGAAACAGATTAAAAAGTTGTGACCATGGAATTTATCTATTTATCACCAGGCGAGCCAAAACCCAGTGTGACCAGCCTTTGTGACTTTCCTTTAATTTTGATAGCAATATTAATTAATGCATGTAGCCAATCTGTAAGTAGTCTGTATTTTGTACCTCAGTCTGCATTTTACCACTGGCCAGTGACTGCAGTCTGCAGTTTGCATTTGAATGGTGAGCAATTTTCCATCCCTGCAGGCTAGGCTCCATGGTAAGATTGTCCCAAACTACTGATGCTCTCTTGGAAAATAATTTTTTAACTGAAAACAAAGAAATCCAGTGGAAGGCCAACAAATGTAGCTATTTACGATTATACAGCTATGTTATTTTAGGTTTAATTTTCCCTACATTATTTTCTGTAACAATGCATTTCTATAACGTCACTGTAAGTTTCAAATCGATCATTGTTCAAGCTTCTGTATTGTCCACATGCACACTTTTTGTTACATGTAGATAATTATAAATCTTGTATAATTATATTTATTATGTTGTTGTTTCTTTAGGGAGAGGCGTGTTCACAACAAAAACGTTTTCCAAAGATGATTTTCTTCTAGTCTACAAAGGAGAACTTGTTACAGCAGATGAAGGATATCGCAGAGAAGACTCGTATCATCCAGACTTGGGAAGCTTCCTCTTTTTTTTTAAAGATGGTATCAAGTGCTTTTGGTAAGCCTGCTAGGAATACAGTCTTTCTTTCGAAACACTGACAAAATAAAAATGGTCAGTATAAAAATTTTTATATGGGCAGCAGCCAGGGGACAGCCGCCGGGGAGGCCATTGTTCATACAGGAGGTCCCTGGGTCCCTTCCTAGATCACTACATGTACACAGCTGGATGGACCAGAGATTTGAGCTGACTGACAGTCTTACATTCATACGGCTCATATAATTATAAGGTATCAGTATACCCCAAATGACCATAATTTGTTCGTGCCACATTTCATGCAGACCCAAGTAAAGTACATATTTTCTGAAAGCTTAAGAATTGTAGATTACGAAGGTATATTCATTAAAATAAAAAAGTTAAGGCTTTCTGAATATAGCATCCTTATAATTTCCCCAAAGTACATGTACAAAGGTTCACTAAACAAGTTTGTTTCCGGTTGAATTCAAGTGGGAGGACGTGACCAACATTGCTACATGTGACCCGACTAGCTTGGTCTAACATGTGATTGCAAAGAGGGAGCTAACTGCTGCAACTTTTGCATTTTCACAACTATTCAAGATTAGTGGAGACGTATAATAATTAATCGCTCAGATTGAATAGAAACCAGAGCCCATATAATTATATGGCTACAGGAAAAACTGAAAAACCACATCAGATGCCAAATTCAAAAAACTCCTAGTATTCTTGATGAAAACTGAAAACCAAATGCTAAGAAAACTGGAGCAACATAATGGCCTATAGGGGAACAGTCTTCACCGAAGACTTTGTTGACAATCTCCGGCGGTTTGTCGATCCCATCACCGACGCCCTGAGACGCGTCGGCAACAAAGACAAACTAGACACAGATCCCCCAGATGCCAAAGATGTTCTCACGATCCTCAAAGCCATAAATTTCGATCCTTGAGTGGAGAACCTTTTTACAGACACGTTCAACGCCGTTGGCCCGGTGCTTATGATGGCCATCCACGTGCTCGTGATCAACTGTCTGATGCATAACCCGGACGTGTTCGCAGAGCACACCGTCCAAGCTGCCACGTCCGAAAAATTCAAAGCAGACCCAACCTTCAAAAACATGATGAAATATCTAATAGACAACATCTTGATGAGGCAGCGAACCATGAAAAGAGCCACAAACGATTAGGATTCAGCTGCATATTTGCAAGACGATGAGGACGACAGCCATCAGCAGCGGCCCAGCAGATCGAGAAGAACCCTGGCACATCCCCACCCAACAAGCCATGACTCAATTGCTGGAAAATCCACATCCTCAAGACATGTGCCCTCAACCTCAACACACAGAGCTAGGACTTCACGGAGACATCCATCCACCCTTGAAGTCAGTGGCATCTCTGCGCTAGCCGAGAGCAACGACGAAGAGGACCAACCGCTGGCGAGGCCAAGACAAAAAACCAGATATCAGCCAAGCCCTCTGGACGAAGAAGAGGACTTCTCGCAAGACAATGAACCGTCAAACAGCAGAGCAAAGAAGAACAAAAGGCCACTCAACGGATCGTCTGTTGCCAAGAACAGGAGACATGTGGTGAACATCGACAACGACGAAGAAGAAGAGGCTGAGCTGTTCATGATGCAGGCGACACCACCCAAGAAAAAACATAAGCAACGTAGGTGATCCCCATCCCCTGAGCAGGCAGCTGTAGTCACAACCTCCAGCAACAAAAGAAAGGACAAAGAGGAAGTACCCGAGCCTGCCGGGGAGGCAGTGACCACCTCCAAGAAACATAAACACAAGAAAAACAAAGCGAAGCCCCACCAAGCACTTGCAAAACTTATTTCCGACCAGAACGAGGTCCTCCGTCAGTTGGCAAAGGGGAACCAAAAGTAGTGTGCTCATTTTTAGCATTCCACTTTCCTTCTTAGGTGCATGCACTATTTGAGATAGAAGTGACACACCGCCGCTTAGTTTTCTTTCCGTTTTGGGCCATTAGGGCCACCATTGCTGTAATTTGTAAGGCAATGTGATTAAACCTTGTTTGAAATTGAAAAATCATGGTGTGGACTCCATTACTCCTAGGCGATTCTCTTCCACAAGATATGCCAAAGGGGAAGGGGCGATACTCCGGGGGGTTCCGGAACCCATTGGGGGGTCCCCTTTCGAAGAGGGTTCCACAACCCCAAAAAGGGTTGAGAACAATTTGGGGTTCGGGTAAGAAGGGTGGTCAGGGGTGGGGAGAAACCCTTGTCATCACTATGGTCGAACAAGGTGCAGGTTATAATCACCATATAAATTGAATTTAATCATGTTTAACATGCAATTGTAATATGAAATGTAAAATTAGCAGTAAGTTTAAAATATCACGCAGCCTTTCTTAGAACTATTTCCTTCGTAAAAAGCTTCATCACCATTATATGGTAGATAAAGATTTACAGTGAGACAGTCAATTGAAGTTAATGGAGCGTGATGCGCCAGAGCTCCGGGGGATTGTTATTGTTATGAGCGGAGCACCTCAATCCATGCGACAAACACGAATCTACAAGAGTTAATATCTTTGTCGCATCTTAGTACAATGGTACAGACAGGTACTAAGGTAAAAATGTTTTAACACTTTCTAGTACCTTTAAAACACTCCTTGTTTATGGCTAGATTCAATAAATACCTCTATTCAGGTCTCATTGCATGCACCGTGTGTCCCTGCAACACTATTATACACCATCACCTATTGGCTTAGCGTTAGACGTATGTCTAGCTATTAAAAGGTTATTTTTGGCAAACTTCATCATTCGCTTAGCTGCCTTATAGGTTGCAAGTTGAAGTAAAAGAGGGGACCACGGGCGAAGCCACCTCCCAATTGCTCCGACCGGTCAAAACGGTGAAACGATACAAGCACGACTGGTATGTCAAAAGCGGCGAAGAAATTTTGAAACGGAAACAGCAAAGACAGGCAGAGAGGAAGAGAGTAAGACAACCGCGACCAAAATCCTCACCTTCCGCGCAGCTGGCATTGAGATCCAGAGAACTCAACAGGCAAGTGTGTACTAGATATCGGAACAGCCACCATGTTTTAAAAATGAGGCTCATATTTTATATTATTTCCCTCTCAGTTAACCTTGGAGGTCATCAACAAACTGTATATTAGTGCTGTTAGTCACCCTGGAGGGACGAAACAGGGGAGGGGCGAGTCATCAGCGAAGTTTGTGTCAAAGCCACTTGAAGATCTGACTTGGCGTGGATCAATAAGACGGGTTTTTCAACATCTTCAACATGTTAATTGCTCATGTGACCAAAGGGACTTTCCTTCTCCGGATGCTTCAATACGCCACATTGAAAGATCCCACCCCAAAGATAAGGATTCCGTCACTTATTGTGCACTTACCACTTTGGATCGATCTTAAAGTTTGCAACAACAAAGAGAGGACTGTTGCAGCAGAGGGAAAGACGAGGGACTTTAGAATTTCAGAGTTCGGACCTAGCACTCAAGGTTTTAGATCTAAGTTAACAGCCTTCTATGATCCAGGTTCAACTTACATAGCTGCGCTGCTTCGAAGAAGTGAATATGGACAAAGAGGTAAGCGGATTTAAATGTTGCTCAATGCGGTCTGGAAACATCTTCCAGCTTGATCATTTTCTTGAGCAAAATTTCAGGGGCTTCAAGCCGATATTTGAAAAACATATGGTTAGTACGGGATCATATGACAAAATGGTGTCATGAACGAACAGATTACCTCTCAGCTTTCCCAGCCCGGCTGCTTTCAACCCAACTGGACTTAAGCATTTTGTCCTCTCACGCCTAACTGTTTTTTTTTTTTTAACTGATCCACCGAAACGTACTATAAGAGTACGGACGGAGAGAATAAAGGCACTCCTAGTCTACGAGGCTGTATGTCTCTATATCCTTAGCATAAATGACTGCTCAGTAGAATCATTAGACCACCGTTCTGCAAACCCTTGCTAGTAAGATGATAACTTCGTCGTTCACGTGGTTTACTCCTTTCGATTTACTCCATTAGTTTCGTGCCAATTAAACTGACGTGTGGTACTTGCGTGTTCCCTTCACGGGTTTATAGTATCAAGTCTTTACGAATGATTTCAGACGCACAGTTTGAAAGTATGGGTCTAGTCATTGAGCAGATAGCAATATTGAACGCGCTTTTTGTGGCTGTGGACAAACCAGTGGACGAGTCAAAAGGTAAATCAACTTAGTAAGTAAACATGTCGACAATCTGTACTTGTTTTTGAAAAAATATCATTCTTGTTTTGCAGTATGTTAGCAAGCTTGCAAATTAGGCCCTACAGGTTGTGCTAGCTGATTACAACTGCAGTAACAAACACTTAATTGTTTTCTTTATTTGAGGGCACGTCTACCTTAAGGAGTACAGATAAATAATTAACACAAGATTGGATTAGTTCAATTATTTGGAACTTACCTAATTTATTAATGAAGTGCATTTTCAAGGATATTAATTTATTTATTTATTTATTTGGCATATATCCTTGTTGTCTCCTAGTGCAAAAAGAGGAATGCATTATAACTTTGCCAGAGAAAATAGGAAAAGTGCCAAGGAAGAAAAACCGCGAAAATCCCAGCCACGTCCCTCTCAAGTGCCTATAAAATGAGAAATGAATAAGCCTCGAAAGGGGTCTATTGGTTGGCTTCACCGCTCAAGCAGCCAATCCCGATTCAAGCAAGTGAGAATGAAAGACGGGCTGGAATTCATGACTTCACATACAGCAATGACGATGAGATCACTGAAGATTTCCTTTAAGAGAAGGCCAAAGAACCATTTTTTCCAGAAGGGTATTCGAAGCTACGTGCCCTACGCCCAACGAAGCTTGAGTTGGGCAACTACACGCAACAAAAAATAACACCTTTTAAGAACACAGAGGGGGATGTATGCACCTTTCAAGAATATCTCCGATCACGTGACCTGATTGCCAGCCACTGTTATATGTACCTGCTGTCCACATCTACAGAAGAAGAGGACGGAATATCAGCAAGTGTCTCGCAGAAAAAAAGGGGCTTGTAGCCACCTCAAGTTGTCTGGGCAAGCTGAGAGCGTTCAAAGCGGTGTATCTGACATATTCATGAGGCTTGGACTTCACAGAGCACAAGTATTAGGAGAGTTGGGAAAACCGACAGAGAGTAGTTCATCATGCAACGCTGGAAGCGATAAAGAAAAGCAAAGGCCCCTTTATGTGCTGAACGATGTGGCAAAAAGTGTTCCCACCCAACAGGTTATCAGTCAAAACGGACTCATAGTTACGAATATTTCACAGAATCGTTTTTCAGTGACGTCATGATGAAATCACTTCTATTTTCACTAGCATCGTGCTACAAACTCCATTCCTTGAACGAACCTCAGACTCTAGCAGAAGAGTTAAAGGCATCTGACCGACTCGAAATGATTTCACCATCACTGATATTTGTAAGGGAAAAGAATATTTTGTGGAAAAGTGCTACTTTTTCACATCAGAGGATGTACAAGACTTCTTGTTGTCTTTCCTCGAACTTCCGACACCCAGCCCAGCAGGACCATCCTCCATCCTCCCTCCGAGGTCTAGGGATATGACAGAAACCAATTAATAATTGGAATCATAGCATGCTCCCACCTCGGAACAAATACATGGTATATTGAGTATCGTGATGGGAAAAAGGCAAAAAAGGGCAACAACTGCTGTTGCCTTATTATAAAATCACCAGGAAGCTACCTCGCAGAGGTTCACTGTGGCGAAGAAAAGGCCACATCAAAGCCAGTAGTGGTCTGTCTGCTTGACGAGTTGGAACCCCCGAGTCCCCCCCGTCGCTGCCATGAAGGCAAGAGAGCCATTGTTTGCTGTCAGAAGAGATATATCCACCCAGTTTCCGGCAGAGATACCCATGGTCTTTTTGCCTGTGGTGCAAAAGGATGAGGTCATATTGAAAGATGAAATTGGCAGAGGTTCCTTCGGTACAGTCTAGAAAGGACTGCGGGGTGGAAGGGACGTTGCAGTAAAGCATATTAAGGTCAGAAATGCAAAGCGTCTCCAAGAAAGTGTGGAATCTGAGATAAAAGTGCATGGCCTAGTCCGCCATCCAAACATTGTCCAAATTATAGCAATTCCAGTTTTGAAAAATGCAATCTACCTTTTGTCAGAATTGATCAAAGGACCCAATTTAGACGACCTTCTCTTCAGCGACGATAAAATCAACACCCATTTCACCATCCAAAGTTGTACTAAGTTCCACTTGGGCAAACACATCTACCAGGCTGTTGCGTACTTACATAATTTGAAGCCCCCTGTGGTTCACAGAGACATAAAACCTGCCACTATATTAGTAGATGAGGGAACACAGGTCATTAAACTCTGTGAAATGGGACTGAGGAGATTTCAATCTGCTCAGTCCATTAGTCGTACAACCAGCATGGGCATACCTAGCACTCCCTCCTATATGTCTCTAGAGTGCCTGCTGGAGAGAAGGAAGGCCACTAATAACTCCGATGTATGGTCCTTGCCAGTTACATCATTAGAGCCGCTCACAGAAGCTGTTGAGTTGTTTTGTTTTTACAGAACGAGAATTTGATTGCCTGAACGTTTGAGCCCTCATAAATTGGTGTTTTCAATAATTTTTTATTCATTGACAATGAATTTGTGAAACCTGAACAGCTAATCAATAAAAGAATTGAAAATACCAAACTTTTAGTCTCAATGAACCTGTAACTTAAGTCATAGGTGTAAGAAAAGGCACACTTTAATACGTAATGCGAAAGACAGACCAGGGAAGACACTGCTACAGTTCTCTTCATCTTTACTGTTAAATGAAATCCCAACTAGAGCTTTTTAAAAGAACTGATAGAAGCTACTCGTGCTTGTAAGGTGTTTCTATAGCACAGCACCATCCTGTCCCAAGTATTCTGAGCACCATCGCCAAAATTGTTCTACATTTTACCCTCATCTCCTCTCCTAATAACTAAGTAAAGGGTACCAGGTTCTTTTGTTTAAATTTTGTGTACATAAATATTCTAATACAAAATACTAATCTCCGCGGCACTTTGTAGATGCGTTGGTTCTAAACATTAAGGACCAAAACGGCACTTTTTGAATTTTACAGTACATCAACTTTTTTTTCCACGACGGTAAACACATGGCCAACTGACTTTCAGTTATGCAGTAAGTACATCTTTTGTAGCAGGGTTTTGCAAGAAAAGAGTGTCCAGATAGGAAGAAAAGGGTTGCAAGTTATTGTTTCCGTGCTCCGACCTCCTTCGACCTCGCGATTTCCATGTGTTGGACCTCGAAAAATCGCATTTTTTGGTCTGTTCTGCGCCATAACGACTCGAAGGTGTCAATTTCTCTCATGAGCGAAGCCCGCCAAGCTCGCGCCAATTTCTCTATAGTTTGTTCTCAGAACCTTCATGTTCAGATGTTCAAGATATCACGCTGTAACTTGATTTTTTTACTCCTTTTCATTTTTGTTTCAGTTGTATTTCCTCTAAAAATGGATTTGGATGGTTCGCAAAAGCGATCGTAAGTGGTTACCGGCAACACTCCAAACAAGCCAGCCGGCAAAAAACTTCGAGACGGGAGCCGAGATGAGACAAAATCACCAGCACGACGGAGTCTGGGTTTCCAGCATTTAAGCCCAACCCAAAGGGTATTTATTCATTATTCTTTGACATATCTATTGTAGTCTTTGATATGTAAATGAAATCAACTTATGAATAGCTTTTGAGCCTGTGGTAATTTTTTTATGTTTGTTTTAGGCTTCCCGACGTATCCTTCCAAAAGCTTGTTTAGTGAGATCCCCTAAAAGTCCCAAGCAATTGCCATCAGTCTGCAAAATATCTTATCCCTGGCAGCAGGCAGAACAAGTAGCGTTAGTACAGTTCGTCGCACTGTTCGAGGATTTAAAACCTGAAGGAACCGAGTGGCCCTCATTTGGCAGTCGTCATGAATACTGGAACAAAGCAGCAACTTTCGTTCAAGAAACTGCAGGAACCAAGTATCTGAGATCCGGTAAGCCAAAAGCAGAAACGTTACCTGATTTTTGTATAAAGATTAGTTTATTTGCCTTTTTTTACGCATCATCTGTTGCTTTCTAAAATGTGCAATTATATAATATCTATGTAAAAAACTCTACATACACTTGACCAACTGAGTAAACAAATTACCTTATATTTAACTGCAATGAATTGGTTATGTATTTATTTATTCAGAAATAAGCTAAATACCACTAATGCCTATTGCTTTAATGATATTTCCCCTCACAAAGCCCGAAAGGTTGTTATTTCCCCCACAGAACCCTAAAGGTTCACAAGTTTTCACTATAACCCACTCCAGGAAGTACATCAGCATTGCTTTTGGAAGCCAATTTATTGGAAAAGTCTTACTTAATATCATGTTAGTAAGGGAAAACCATTCTGTATGATTGACATGTAGGCACTTAAAAGGGGTTTATAGAAAAATGTGTTTAAAGAATAGTTATATGACACACAGTTTTTTTTTTACCATTTTTAGCAAACCAATAATTTTTCTAATTATTCATGTAGGTAGCAGTATTCGACAGCAAGCCCTAGGAGAGTTGAAAAAGAAGTTCAAGTGTATCTCTGAAGTAGAAAATGCTTTGGGCATCACCATAATATTCCTTCATCTTCATGCCAAAAAAAGGATAAGCATCACTGATCTCAATCAGATTCTTTTATAAATAACAACGACCAGCACTTCTAGAAGATAACCACTAAATTTTATTTTCTCCAATGTGCTTCTGATAATTTCAGACCAAATAGAAAATACAGTGCAACGCCTGAGAACGTTGAAGTTTCGCAGACGTTACAACGGCATGCTTATTTTAGTCAAAGGTAATATCCTCATAAAATTCAGAAGATAGAATTATAACTACATAATAATTACTGTAGCAATAATTGACACAAACAGTAACAGTTCATGAATAAGACACTGCATGAAAAATAAAGTGACAGAAACAAAACAAAAGAGCTGGTAATAGGTGTTGACTTGATGGTATGGTGCCTTAAACTTTGCAGTTGGCGACTTGATTTGTAAAAACTTCTTCCTAAGCCAAAGGGGTTGGTTGTGAAATGGCAGCTGAGCAAAAACTTTAACTTAGAGGGCTGCACAGGTACAGTGCAACCGAGTAATGCGTACGGACTTGCACTTAACCACACACCTTAATGTCTATAACATACTCTCTTCGCTTGTTACAGGAAAATGGTCATATATTTTCTCTAAATTTAAAAAAAAAAAAACATGTTCATTGTCACAATACACCCTTTTCTATATCCCAAGCCATAATATTTCACATATTGTGACCCCTGTTTACAGACACTGGTTAACTGCACAGAATCTATTTTCATCTTCAGAATAACATAAATCATAAGATGTCTATGTCACCCTTGACTGTTTGAATGCACTTATTTTGATGTTATCTTTAATTTGCATGGTAACAACTGCTGATGCTCTGAATGTACCTCCATTTAATTTCAGTGTTTATTCCTGCCTATTTCTTCCCTTTCTCAAAAAAAAAAATGAAACAAACATCCCAAATTTGTTAACACAGAAAAGTGAACGCAGCTACATATTCAAAGAATAGACATTAATTTTGATTTCTTTCACGTTGAAAACAAAAAGCCAACAAACAAAGAAGTACACAACCAAAAAAAAGACAAATTGAAAAATATATTGTAGCCTTCATACCTTACAGAATTAACATGGGAGTGCTATTTTCGCACCCAAGGTGCAAGAGCAGTGAATACAAGATTATTTGAAATCCCACCTGCCACAATTCTTGGGTAATTCGAATATTGTACAACCAGGATTATGGGAGTTTCCAATTTGCTCAGAAATGATAAAATACTAAGTATGTCTACTATTTCCCAAGGAAAAGTTACCACGTTAATACAGAAATTAAATAAAATTGAGCAACGTATAAAGAAGCTCCACTCTTTAATAAGATTTGTGCTTGAAAAAATTCTATAAACGCATTTTTTGATGCCACGTAGATGTCAATATTTAAGACACATCTTCTGTTATCCTTCATAAAAAAACAAATGAAACTAGCTAATCTTGTTTTAAAACACAGAATTGGCTATTTAACAAAAGCACATCAGACAACATTTTTGTCATGCACTGCAAAGTGCCTGATCAATTCCAGCTCCACATCAAAAGAGAGCTTGACAATACTCATAGGTTAGAAAATTTAAAAAGGCAGAGTACGCTATAAACAATTCTTCCTTTAGACTGAGCAAACATTATATTTGCCGATTGAGACATTATTAATGAGGCTGATCAATGTGTTTCCTGTCAATTCTAGCATTGATTTCCTCTCATTTTCATCAGGAAGCAGAATTTGACCTCTAAAGAAATTTAGGGATTCTTTGACGTATTTTGAACAAGAAAAATTTTTGTTGCACCTAAATTGCCGTTGAATAAAAGTTTTACTTTCCAATATGTAAAGTAACTACAGAATACCCTGTCTGTATCTTAAATAACTTCCAAGATGTAATTCTTTTTATCCATAACTTAATAGTTACACTTCACCTGGCTCATTTGCAGATCAGTTTGCTATTATACTACTCTTCCAGATTGGGTAATGAAATCGTTCTGACAAAGGTGACAAAACTAAGGAGCATTCAAAACTCATCACAAATATAGCAGACAGGACTTTCCCTTGCAGCTTTCACAATTCCTTCACAACACAACTCACCTCCCAAAAATGTACTGCAGAGACAATAATCCAATTACCTACGTATTGTAAATAATTGCAGTTAACAGAACCCATTTTTATAGTAGATGTCTTTCATGTCTATGTGTTAATAACAATTGGTTAACATATTATCCATAGAAAACGTTTAAGTCCTCTTAGACAATTTTCACAGCATACAAATGAGCCTTAAACACCAATTATTTTTTCAATAATTCTTTTTCACAGACATGGGGGTACAAAGCACAGGAACAAGAACAGGTAAAGTAATTTAGCAGTACTCCTCAGACTACTGATATTACTGTTCTCCAAACAAGTATATACCACCTTTCTGAACAAATTCTCGGTCAGTTTTCTTTTTTGTTAGTTCATTAACGACACAGCAGTTCAATAAGTAGACAAAAGATCAATAACCACACCAGTGGTTCAATGACTACACATCAGTTCATTGAGCGTAAACTCCATGCAGCTGCGGGAAGAATAGCCACAAATACGTTAGTTATTTTTTAATAAGAATGCATAGCATTAAGTAAGTGGTAAATACTCATTTAGCTATGGTACGAGAACTAAATAGATAAATAGCTATGTTACATTGTTATTAAGTACTAGTGAGCTCACTAATATAGACGGGAACATAGACTGATGTTATTTAAAATTTTAGTCCCCTCAGAAGGTCTGTCATTCTCATCAGGGGCACAGTGAACAGACCTGGAAAGAGAGTACAGAAAATATTCCTTAATTTAGAATCGACTCCCTTAGAAATGAAAAAAGAGACTGGTAAGGGTAAACCCCCCTTCGCCTTCATTAATATTCTCTCTACAGACGTA